AATGATGTCAGCAGTACCTTCGCGACCCATCAGGGGGCCGAGCTCAACACAGTTTACTTACCCCTTGTGAAGCGATCTGGGTCACATTTGATTACTTAATTATTTGCAGTCTAAATTTGAATGTGTCCTGATGCATCCCTGACAAGTACACATCAAGGAAATATGTCATCACCTCAGTACTCTGAGGCTGATGTGGCAACACTACCGGTAGTAATTTGTATTTATGTAAATACATGCGCGCTAGCTTTTGAAATATTTCTGTTTTATTATGTAGCCTGGGGGTTGCGTCAAGAAGGGCATCCAGAGCAAAAGTCTGTGCCAAATCAAACATGCAAATCCATCCATTGTGGCAACCTCTCAGGAAATGAGGGTATTTAGCCTGTGCAAAATAAACCTGAATTAATACATGTGTGTGGATCTCTTTCACTTTCTAAAAACACTGTTTCTTGGGAAATGAAATGAACAGTGATGTATCTTGGTAGTTGTTTCAAGGTAATTCACTTGTTTGAGGTGAGGCCACAAGAAACTGGTAATCAAACAATATAGCACAGCTTTAATAGTTTTGAAAATCTGTATTTAATGGAATGTATATGAACTTTGCTGGTTTTGCTGGTCAGCCACGGTGGTTGGCACTTGTCACCCTTTGCCACGAGTGGTGACCTACATGCTTGCACTAACGTCACGGACAGGATAACATGAATGCATGAGGATAATAGCTCAAAATAGCATATTGCTCTTCATAGTGACCGGAGCACAGGCATTTCTGTGGTCAGGGAAGTGAGGCTCATGTTTTGTATCTCATTAAATGAGTGTTACTAAAAGGGGGGATAATAATAAAGCCATATTGTTATTGGCTGAGATCATCTATAAACATTAGAAATTTGCTATTATTGGATGAACTCACTGCAATGGTGCCTGGCTATATTCTTGTAGGCCTAAACTTGTTCTTTCCAAATCTGGGGTCAAATCCAGGCTTTGGGTTTCCCTTGTTGTTCATTTTAATAATTTAATAACGCTATGAATCATGGGTAATGTCCTGACCAGCTGTCGCTCCCAAATCTTGGATTCTGACCTGGTGGAAACACACGACTCCAGGCGGACTTCTCAGTTCAAGAACTTCTTTATTCACCCATGAACAAGGGGAGATGTGCACAGCGCGAAGTCCCTCGATCTGTTACATTTATACTTTTTCAAAGTTCCTCATTCAGTGCCTACTTTTCCTGTTATTTAATACTCTGTGTTCCTGTACCCTTCATACACAGTTTTGATCAAAACATCTCCTCCTTCCTTTAACATTCTTATCTTTTCCTTTTACAGTCTTACATGAATTCATCTCTCCTTCTCTGCACGCCCTCATTTTCTATGCACGTGGGTGCTGCATGTAGGATCTCTAAATAAGCTAAGCTTTCTACCTAGTTCTACTTTTTTGATCTATACTTATCAAGATGTGTTAGACGGCAGTTAGTGCTGCCATTTTCACCCACTCCTGTAATGCTACTTCTGAACTCTTTCCCATAATGCTGTTTTATGTTGTAACTACTTGCTCCTGCAGTTACAAAGGGGCCTGCTAGTAGGGCTGTTCGATATAACGATATGTATCGGATGATGATATAAAAACGTCTATCGTTTCATTTTACGCTATCGCTTGTTTTGTGGTGTTGCAAAATAAACCGTTTACGGCAATATTTTTTCATCGTTTTGACGAACCATCATGTGCCTGCGTGTTTATTTTCCACATAAACCTTTCACAATAAAGCTCAAGATCCTGTTGAGACTTTTCAAAATAAACTGAATCACGTGAATTTGTATGCAGAGAGTTTATGGATGACAAGCAAAAAAGAGCCGCCAGGTGCTAAAAAATAAACCTTAGACTCAAACGTTAGAACAGGCTTTTCCCCGCAGCACGCCGTGTAATAAATACTCACAAAGAAAACGGCGGCCGTTACAACCTATGTCTAAAAATGTGTTTCATGCATCGGTAAAACACTCGACTCCAGGTGCACACTGGAAACACTTCAGCTACCCGAGATTCAGAGAATTTACAGAAAATGTTAAATTTTTGTGATTTATATCGTTATCGGACGATAGATTTTGGTCATATCGCACAGCCCTACCTGCTAGCAGTATAATACTATATACAGTTCCACAGTAATTCTTTTAAAAAGTGTTGGTGGGACTGTAGACTTCAGAGAGACCTCAAGCACTTATTGCTTGAACATTGGGTTAAAGGTAATGTCTATGTCAAAACCCACGTGTCTTGATGGACCAGGAATAGACTCGCTTTCTCACTCTATAGAGATCAGTCGATACAACTTTGTGTGAAGATGATTCTGCGATGGGTCTCATTAAAAAGCTCACTGGCTTTGGCCCAAACGCTGTCCTATTTGCATTCCTCATAGGCAAGCTGTCCAATGTTATCTCTACTCACTCCATCACAGGCCCCTGAAACCACAAAGGACTTGCTGTGTTGGCTTCTTCCCACATCATATTTGCCGGAGAGGAGAGTCCAGACAGACTCTCCTCTCTAATAATGCTGACGCCACACCAAAGGATGCACCTGCAGTCAACAGGTGTTTTTGTCCTCAGCCTGCGAGGAGCCTTCCTTTATTCTGAGGAAGGCTTCTGAGGTCCTGCCAGTGTGCTGTGTCTATATATATTCACATTTTCCGTGAAGGCTCAAAGGTGGATCTTTCTCTGGAAGCGATTCAGATGTGAATTCTTTTCATTGTTTGAAGTGGAAGTTTTTAAAGAGTTTTTTAAATAACTCAAGCGAGCGAGCGCATGCTGATATACATGACAGATTGGTTAAGCTGAATTAATAACCTCCCTCTCCTCCTTCAGCTCATGTATCAAGCTACAAAACTAAACCTGTGATATCAGTCTAAGAAAGCCATACAGTGCCATGTCTGGAAATCTGCAGGTGTGAAATTTTACATCTCAGACAAACAAAACAAAAGTGTCTGTGTGGGGGATCCAGGCTGACCTGCTGCAGTGGGAGGAGACGGCCTCTGCAGCGTAACATTACTGTGTGGAGTTGGAGGGTTGTTTGAGGGAAGATAAGAGATTGTGGGATCAGTGCGCTGTTAAATGTATCTGCCAGAGCCAGCAGAGGAGCTACAGCAATGCAGTGACTCTGCCAACATTCCTGGGGATCAACACGAGCTAAATGCTCCCACCTCTCTCCTCCACGGCCAGAAGTTAAAGAAAACCTGATAGATGGAGCTCACTGGAGCTTCCAGCACACTAAACTGTCTTCTTATGTCTCTATTGCTTTGTTTTAAATCAGGTTACTGTCCAAAAATAAAAAACTAAACTCTGTTGATGGAAAATACTTACACTGTAAAAAATGCCCCTGATAAAGAACAATACTGGCAGGAAAACACATCACAAAAATGGTATTATAGGCCTGTTCTATGAATGAATATGGACTATACTTTATGATGCTGTCTGTTTGGTTGGTATTAAGTGTATTGATGTGATCTCCACAAAGTTTATTACTGTAAAATATAATCGCACACCCTCCCCCTGTACTCAGCAACTGTTGCCCATTACTTGCATTGCAAGGGGACAGAAGTCTGAATGTGTATTCATTGCAAATGTCATTCACATTGGCAGCTATACTTTAACACTGCTCTTGGTCACACAAACAGTGCAAACTGCATCACACTTCCACAACAAAGTCTACATATATTGTATTTTAAAAAAGTACAGTAGTTTGCTCTTATTTTCTTTTACCATAAAGGCCACCAATCTTGCAGTATAGCAGCTTATTTTAGAAAACGTCCTGGGTTTTTTGTAGCAATTTGTTACATTGTAAGTACTTTTACTCATGTACTTCTACACCACTAAAGCTCAAAGAGCAACATTATTTCTCTCATTTCTGTCTCTCTCTTTGGTCCATTAAGATTTATTTAAGATTTGCCACACAAACATGACGATAAGAAATAATAACATGCATTTTCCCACAATTATTACACTTGCTTTTTATGTTTTGACTGAATCAAATCACTAGTCACAGCAGCAGGCGCTTATGTCTGTATGTCTGAAAACATGCATGCATGCCCCAACACCCAGCGTCACCAGCTGAAGGCTGTCTAGTCCTTTCGATAGAGGAAGAACCTTAAAAGGATAAAGTAGTCACTTCTTATTCTGTGCTCCTATCACAAAATAATGTAAACAATCAAGTGACATCAGGCCTAGGGCGACCCCTATAAGGCTGAGTGAGGATTTGTAAAGTTACGACTACATCTAGTGGTTAGAACTGGAAATCCTTGGGACCATTTCTGTCTACTGAGCACCTCTCTCACACAAATACATGTTATCGCGCAAACACTGAATATAGCTTGTATTTTAGAATCCAGAATAGATGACAGTCAACCAGCGAGAGCATTAATAATCTGTACGTCGGCTCACAGGTGCACGGAGACATTAAAAGACCAGAGAGCTGTCATATGCACCGACAGATGTAGTGAGCGCTGGCACTGACTAGAGGGCATAATGTCTGCATTAGATGACAAGTTCCTCTCCACACCTGAGCCAGCATGCAATTCAATACCCTTCAGTCATCACCAGGCTTCTAATTTAGAACGTATCGACTAGTGTTCAGTAGAGCACAAGCACTCGCAGACATTCATGTCCTCCAGCTGTGAGAAATTCTTGTCTAATCTACTATCACAGCAGCTCCTTGAGAAATGCGAACAGCAAGGCGATTGTGTCGAGGTATGTTTCACTGGCTGTGGAATATGATTTTTGTGGTCGTATGCGATTTTTCTGAAGGGCTGCTGCTGCGTTACAAGGTGCATTTGATCTTCATGTAACTGCTGCCAAGGGGATGTAAAACATTAAAGGTCATCCGAAAACCAGGGACACAAAACTTGGGGTGGGGGTGGGGTAGGAGGGCTGATGGTCGGGATGACGGAGTGAACAAATGGGTGTGAGCCTACAGCATGCCTCCACACTGACACAGATGCAGCAAATGCTATCTAAGTGACGGCACTGAGTTTAAAGTTAAATACAATCTTTATTGGGTTTGTAGACATTTCCCAAAGGTATAATCCAATAAACAGCAACACAGGCATTTACAATTCAAGGACAAATAATTCACTTTCACAATAACAAATTGAAAGAGTTTTGCCTCTTGCAGATACTTTTCACCAGCAGTGCCTTTGAATCGAAACGACCAAAGAAAGTGCTCAACTCAGCAACATATCACATAATAGTTTAAATAAACTATTGGTTAAGCCGTGACACTAGGTCATAATGACGGTGTGTTGATTCACAGTCTGATTTCCTTTGCCACACTTCCTGTATATTCAGAACTAAACATTTTACATCGTTTTCAATGAACAAACACTATGTTAACACTTTGACTTAACTGAACATTTAACGACCAAAATGTTTCATTTGCTTCTGAATAATCAGCAGAACAAATCCATAATAATACTGACCGGATCTGCCTGTCTAAGGGCAACGTTAGGAAATTTACAAAACTGTGACTGAGTATAGACAAATCTTTAATAACTGGAAAATATAGTTGCGTTCTTCAACTGCATTCTGGAAAAAAAGGTTTTTGCTTCTTTTTCTAAAATTTAAAATCATCAGTGTTAGTTTTAATTTGACTATAAATATGCAACTTACTCCTGCATGTTGATCCTACAATATAAGACTTATCTTATAACATTTATTTGACTTTAAAATAGTTGCTTACGCTCAAAGTGAGGTTGCATTTTTCTTTGTAAACATCTGGCCAGAAGAACTGGTTTTAAAATAATATGGAGAAAATATAATCGCAACACTGGTACTCACTCAAATATCACAGTTACATCCTTTTATCACGCCTATGAAAACCTGCAGACTTAACAGTGGAGATGCTGGGTGATTTTTTTTTTCTGCAACAACGCCAACACTATTCTACCTGAAATATCCTAAGAACTAAATGTAAAGCCAAGTGCTCTTCAGATGGACTGAAAGCATTCCCAGCTCCTGTTTGTAAGGCAGGCTTATCGAACGCTTTAATAATGCCTGTAAATGCAGCACACTCTCCAGGCATAGATATGGTTTTTTGGGTGCTTCATCCTCACGACTCCACAGGTTAACGACAAAGCACTACACAAGCAGCTACTGTAAAGTTACATCACTATCAAAATGCTGTCGGTGTGAAGATTTTGGTGCTAAGTACTTGCTACAGTGTTTTTTCAGTGTTTCTTCACTACACCTCTGTTACTACTCTGTGATCCCGCTGTCTCGTCTAAAAAAGGTTCCATTCGTAATTAGAACTGCGATTTTAATACTTTCCAATAACCCGAATGTATTCCTGTTTTTTAAATGCTTTTAACATAGGTCTCAAATCCCCTTTGGGGTCACGTCAGGAAGGGCAACTGGCATGAAACACTCTGCCAGATCAAACATGCAGAGCTACCCGCTGTGGTGACCCCTTGTACCAAGGGAGCAGCTGAAAGTAGCTTGTTACAACAGCAGATGACTGTTCAGAGTTTCTAGTGCATTGCAACTGTAAAACTTGAGCTACATTTTTGATATTAGGGGCAATTTCCTAGAAAAATATAGCTTTAAACCTCCAATTTAAAAGTTCTGGTTGTCAATGAAAATAATTAAAGGTACAGTACTCGGCAGAACTCTTGAGCCACCCCTCATTTGTTTTTATTTTCCTTCCTTGCAGACTCAAGTGGTCTTGAGCAATAGTTCTCCAGCCTTTCTGATGCTCTTTCTGATTTTTTCTTTTGACATTGACTGCTTGTTTGTTAAGCCACTTAACACTGACCTATGAACCTATCAATTGACTCATTCAAGCATAAAAAAAGGTTCATATCTCAAGGTGTGGAATTAGTGTTGAGTCAGACCTTAACATTTTCAAGAAACCTGGAGAACTATTCCAGCAGACAACTTAAAGAAAAAACAAGAAAGCTGCTTAAGAGAATTTGGCTTGTGTCGAAGAATAAAGGTGGTCATAGCGAGTACTGACTTCTAAAATATGTTGTATTTCCAGGTGTGATAAGACATGTTTCAACAAATGTCTGCATGTATTTCTCAATTTCCTAGCAAAAGTCAAATAAATGAGGGGCGGCTGATTTCTTTGCAAAGTACTCCGCTCGTTTTCAATGTTTTGTTCCTTTTTTAAAATTTTGTTTGCTGAAAGATGGCTTGAGTTGTTGATATTATTCTCAATGTCACCCGACCTCTAACACTAAAGACTGAAATTAAGCTCATTAATCCACAACCTCCCCTTTAAAAGTAAATATGAGGTTTACTAAAAAAGCCTCTTTTTAAAAGCATAATTGGCTAATTTTTTATTTCAACCTTCCTAGGAAACGAGCCCTTTAGAATTAAATGAGTGTGAAATTGAGAATACTCCATTATTATATATATTTTTAAATAAAATGGTTTGTTAATCTTTAAATTGCATAAAAATATAACAACAATCCCATGTGGTTAACAAGATAAATAGTGGCTGGATTTCTGGTGTGGTTTAACCCTCACCTTAACATCCTAACCTCTCAGTTACTGGCACAGCTTTGAGAGACTGGCTAGTGTTATTTCTGTCAGCCACATGAGAGCAGCTGCTGGTAAGGAGAGCTTTCTTTACCCCTTAAGTATGATTAAGCCACTGCGCAGGTTCATTAACCTTATTTCCTTTTGACCTCAAGAGATTAAACTTCAGAACACGACATAATGTTCATTTCTTTTCCTCGCAAAAGGACTACGATGAGTTCAAATGTGATCAGTGGAGATCTTTTGATGTTTGATGGTTTTCTGAACACTATTGTTTCACCTAATGAATATTTTTTAACCTCTTTCATCGGGGCTTAGGGCCACACACTGTGCCACAAAGTGTATTACTTTTTGAGAGTGTCAGGGGATATATTCCCCCACCCATCAGATTGATCTAGATCTGATGTAGCAAAGAGTAATAGTTATTAAGGATTTCACATGTACTCAGTTGAAAAAAACAACAACTAATTTATCATGTTTAATAACAAAAACTTTAAAAAGGTGTCCTGCCTCTCTCTTTCGACTGTTCTTTGCAATTCCACTCTGCAATTCCCAGCGGCCTTGCAGATGCAGTGAAAGTCTTTTGGTGGTGAGTGGGCTTGATTGCATGATTTTCCACACTTGAGAAGATGTGGATAAAAGCATTACTAAGGTAACAGAGAGGGACACCACTTTTTACCATTGCTCTCCTGACTGTGCTTTTCAATAGCTCGCTCCTAGATTAGAATTTTGAATGTGCAGCGAGTTCAGTGCTGCTGTTTTCATAAGCTCTACTCTCCATCTCCCAGCCACACTGCCTTGGATATCAGATCGTAATAATAAGTGACTAATAAGTCGACATGTGTGTGACGCATTAATGTAACAACACCCCCTACCATAAACCAGACTTCTTAATAACGCTGAACTTCTGGAGTACAAATGTTATTAGGAGTTATTTCCTCCTTGGGATATCTGCTGTCTAAATGAACCAACTGTCTGTTTAGCAGGAACCTCTTATACTCTTTCATAACTGCATCTTTATTCTTGGACTCTACTAGAGTATCTCTGGATGAACAAGCTCTTTAAGCTCCTCTCACTTTGCCAACTTTCTACTGATTGGCTGCCTCTTGGAAACAAAAGCTTTGTACATCAGATGGGGAAAGCTTCTATGCTGAGATGACCATATTATAGATATCCCTCTCAGTGACATCATGTCAGATTGAAAAGCAGAAAAAAGTGTCTGAAATCTAGTGTTAGGGATTAGCTACACATATGATGCCCTCATTATCTGAAAGTTTGTCCATATTTTAATGAGCATCCACTAACATTTCAACCTTTTGTACACGAAGGATACATTTGTTTCTGGCGCTATGTCTGTAAAGTTAATCTGTCAGTTGAGCAAGTGGTGTCGCACAAAATACGGGAAGGAGTTCAAATGATAGATCTTTCCAGCACTAAGGTAGCACTGTCTTTGGTCTCTTCACTGACCCATCACAATCTTTGTGAGGAACAATCTGAAAAGTTGAATGAACCCGAGCTGTGGCGTGTGCCTCAGGGGAACGTTAAGCCTTCCTGCTGCTCCTCCTGCTGCTCCTGCTGCTGCTGAGTGAATGACTGGTGCAGTTTCCCAAAGCTGTGCATTATGTTTTCATGAGTTCTACTACAAATTTCTATTTAAAATTCAATTTATGAAATGGAAACTAAATGTGGGTTCACGGTTTTACTTTCTTAATAGTCCTTCCCACAATTTATCTCCACAAAGTCATGAAGAATGTCAAACTTCCCTTCAACTAATGAGCATATCTGAGGTATAGACTTTGACTAAATACTATTGGATGTGTAAGCTACTTCCACAAAATAGTTCTAAAATGTTAAATCTATCATATCAAAGAGTATACAACAAAGATAACGATTACCTCATTACAAAAAATATAGACTAGTAACATTTAGGATCAGCTATCCACTGAATTCTAAAATATAGTTTAACTGAGACAGCATCGAGTTGCACAGTGACAGGACGTTCATTCAGTAAGAAAACAGAAATATGCTTCACTGTCTTCCTTTTCTTTTCATTTTGGTATAATTACTGAACAAACAATACATCAGGGAGGGGAAAAAATAATTTCAATAGTGTAAACATTGTACCAGTACAAAAGCACATGTCGCAAGACGTGGTCAGAAAACACCAACACAGGCAGCGCTGTCACCCTTTACTCTTCCTCCATTGACTTCTCAATCTCTTTCAGCCTGCGGACAAACTCCTGAGCCTCCCGGTCCCCGACGCGAGCTTCCAGCATCCCCATGATTGGCTTCTCTGGAGGCGAGAGAAAACAGATGAGCACAGTTTCTACACCTGACACAAATATCTCTTGATTGAATGGCTTTTCATGCTGCATTGAAGAAGTAATTGGAAACCCAGACTTACACCCCCTGGTCTTCAAGAAGCAAACATTATGTTTGAGTAAACAAAACGACGGCATAACCCCCCCCCAAAAAAACCCCAAAAAAAACAAAAAACAAAATAAATGATACAGCCCGGAGCCGTATGTACCGCTGGGTTTACTGCGAGACAGATGCAGAATGACAGGCTGGACGCTCTTGCCAGCCGCTGAGGCGTTCGGTCTCCCCGGCCAGCAGAAGTCGCTGAGAGGAGCGACGGCTTCTCCAGCGAAGTCGTTGGTGGACAGCCAATCGTAGTCCATCACAGTAAAGGTCAAACAGGCAAACCTGTGCCTGTACTGTTCAGGACTGACGTGGCTGGAAGACAATGGAATCAAACAAATCAGCCACAGGGTGCGTGCATATAAACAGGGAGACCTAACAAAAGGGCAGAGTACTCACAAGTAAAAGAGCTCATCGAACACTGGGTGCAGCGTCTTAAGCTTCACTTGCGTGCGCTGACTCTTGGCCATAGGAAACAGGTGGTGAGGACATAACTCCACTATGACGAAGGGATCACTCAGACCTGAGGAAGTAGTGTTCAACTTTAATATTTAATTTAAGACAAAAATTCAAATTCATAAATTCACATATTTACCATTGGCATCCAGTGCAATGATATCAGCAGCATGCAGGATCTCCACTGTCAGGCGCTGCTCTGGAGCATCATAGTAGCACTTCACGCTGATCCGACCGTAACGTGTATGTTTGAGAGTTTTCTGCAACATTAAGTATTGACAGAAATATTAAGCATGCATCCATCCTCATTTCGCGGGTTGCGTCGTGTCTTCAAAGGGCCGACGAGAAGGCAGATTTTTAATCAGAGGTATAACAACAGAAGAAAGAGCACTCTGCTGTCCAATCAATACTTCTTTCTTCACTTCAAAGGAGAACAAAATGAGATTGTCAGTCTTGTAGGTTGAAACGCACCTGGTGGGAAATCTTCTCCAGATAGTACTGTTCAATCAGCTCAAAGGATGAACATTTATTCAGCCTCAGCTCCTCATCCAAGACCTAAAACAGCATCGAGATTGTCACAAAGCGATCAATAGCATGATGGATAACGCAACATAAATCTGACCTTGAACCCACTTATCAAGATACCAGGAGCCAGACTAGTAGATGTACTAGTAGATGTTCACCACTAAAAGTGTGTGTAATGGAAAAAGCGCAGAAATTTGCTTCTTTTATAAATCTTTGGACTTTACAGAAAGTGGAACTTGTAGAGTTTAACAATTTAGCTGAGCATCTGTCATAAAAACAAAAATATTTTAGAAATCTTTCGAAAACTTTAAAACTAAAAACTATATCACTTATTAGCCAAATAACAAACTGAATTTAGATTTTTATACCCAAACTAAACTTCTCTGGAAAATTAGGAATTAATCAAGTGTTTTAATGACATTTCTTTTAAAATAAATAATGTATTTTACTGTTTTTTCCTTATGTAAAACTGAAAGGCTGCAGTTTTATGCAACATTTTAGCATTAAAAATATTATTTTAATTAAAGACCTTGCACATACTGGTGAATTAACCATAACAGAAACATAAAAATATTATTATTATTATTTGGCAATTACCAACAATGACAATTTAGGGCAGCTGTGGCATATATAAATAAACCTGGCATTGGGTGGTGGTCTTATAATTTGGTTAAGCACTGTAGAAAATTTCCTTCCTTATGGAATCATGAACAGAAGACAAATCCCAAAAATGTAAAAGTAAAAGTAACTGAAGCCATCAACTCTGTAAGTTCAGGGTAAAAGATCACGACAGATTTAGGACTGGAAGACAAACATGAACCATTAGTAAAACAGAAGGACCGCCTGTCAAAATAAGTGTAATATTAAACGCAAGTTTTGTGAAAATTGTCTGTTTTGTTGCACTTTTTAAAATCTCAACTTTATCATATCATGTGCAGTGTGCACAACATTTTTCATGCACTTTTTTGTTTATAAAAATCAGTATACGTTTGGGAAAAGATGTACATTATTTATACAGCCGGCTCCTGGTTGACAGATTGGACGAGTTCCTACCTTGTAGTCTCCGCTCTTCATGTCTTCCAGGAATAGACCCTCTCCCCTAGCATGAAAGAACTGCAACAGAGTCTAAAGCGATTGAACAAAAGCATTAAACTCGGGAGCTCATAACATTTATCCCTCTATTTTTGATAGACTTGTTGTTCACACAAACAGCATGAAACCTCTGGCAAACATTGCATCTGTCTGCCAGCCTCCAAATTCATGCCATGACTTTTCATGCAAATATGTCACGTCCTCTTCCAGCTGGTTAAATTGGAATTAGAATATACAACAGTTCCCACATTGTCATTCATAAGGGAGCTCACTTTGGCACTGAACTATTACCTAGTGTCTTCATGAATATCTGATATATGCTAATGATTGCACGCCAAAGGGCATACCGAGATAATTAAAGAATGCAAGCGGCAATGATAATCTTAACATATTAGACACATGTCTTTTAAAACAGACCATTCTTTTCAGTGGGCACACAGACTAAAAGGATTATTGTGCGATGCAGTAATCACTGACCTCTACTGTGTACTGGAAGCGGTTGTAAAACTCCACCTGGACACCCCTGTTTTCAGTGACCGTGTCCAGGATCATCCGCAGGAGGAGCTCCCACATGCTCTGGAGAACTCTACCAGGAAGCAGACAATGAGACACCCACACATGTGTGTTTACCAGCTCTTCCAATTACACCCCATGTACTCTCACTATGTTTTCACAGATAATAGCCCGATAATGAATACTTGTAAGTAGTGTAAGTGCTAAAGGCTATTATTATTATTGCAACGCTTACATTCATACACAAGCGCAGCATCTTATTTGCTGAGCTGTCACACATTTTATGTAGTGCAACAGAATAGGGAAAATCTCTTTTCTTTTTCAAGGAAACAATGGATTTTGTTGTGTAACTTCGGTTGGAGTGAACCAGAAATCTATTTTGGGTTGGCTTGGATTCATTGTGGTTTTAACAATCAAATATATGCTGATCATGCAGTGTTTCATGTGCATGGGAAACATAAGGAACCAGGGGATATTTGGTGTGGTGCATACTGGCTGAACTCATATAAATCATATTTATAGTACAGTGCAAAAATCTTGAGCCACCCTTATACAGTTTGTACCGTTCTAACAAGCCTAAAATTCATATTTTGTATGGCCTCCTTTATTCTCAAACACGACCTGAACTCTTTTAGGCAAGCTTTCTTGTAATTTCTCTAAGTCGTCCTCAGGAACAGTTCTCCAGGCTTCTTCAGGGACATTAGAAGTTCTTCTTTGGAAACTGGCTGCCTTTTCTTTTGTTTTTATCAAGACGATCCCAAACTCCTTTAATAATATTGAGGTCCAGGCTTTGGGGATGCCAGTTCTTAACCAATAGTGTTCCATTGTGGGTTTCCCTGTCCTGGTATCTTTCACTGCAGTGTGTTTGGGATCGTTGTTATAATGAAAAATGAAGCCGTGGCAGATGCTTTCCAGAGGGCATTGCATGATGGATCTGAGTTCATAATCCCATCAACTTTGACAAGATTCACAACAACACTGACTGAAATGTGGCTGAAATTTATGACAGAACCTCTGCCAGATTTTATTGGTTAGTCCAGTTTTGTGTAATTTCACACACCTCAGCCTCCTTGATTCCCTTCCACTGACACCATTTCTGTTGAGGCTTTGGTGAACAGTAGCTGGATCAACTGGAGGGCAGATACATCTCTCAGGTCCTTCGTCAGGTCTTTTTTTGCTATTTCTTAAGGACATGACTTTGAGATACTGTTGATCTGCTGTAGATAGTTTTTCAGGCCTGCCACTTCTTTTTTTTGTCCTCCACTAGTCCAGTTTCCTGTGTCAAGATGTCAATTTTTGGCTAATAGCTCTTTGGGAATAACCTTGTTGTAGTGCAATAGGTGAATCCTAAAGCGCAAAAATAAAATCTTGCTATTTTATGCCTGTCAAACTGTGTTATCTGTGTCATCATTTCCCGCAGATTAAAAAATGGGGGCAATTATGTGCTTTTTCGGCAGGCTACTGAAAAACAAAAGGGTAAGAGTTTTAAATTTGACCTTTGTTTTTTTGAAAGTGGTGATTTGCTAAATGCACTGTTACATGTCTTTTTAGGCTTGAATGATTCATAGATCTGTGTTAAGTGGCTTAAATAAACCAAAAAACAAATAAAAACATGCCTCTGAAAAAGCCTGGAAAAGATACAAGCACTGGACGGAAAATTAGTGAAAAGCAGTCAGTGTTAAAGCAATCATCCAAAGCTCCAGAAAGCCTGGAGAGGTTTTGCTCAAGACCACCTTGAAACATTACGAGAAAGTCTAGATCCTTGGATGAGTGTTATGCACGTCTTAAGTTAGTATAAAGATACCATACTTTGAAATAAGCCTCAGAACAGTCTTTTCCTGCTACAGTCAAACTTACTTTCACAGTATTTTGACTATCACTCAAATTAATGTTGTGATTAGTTTTGCATGTATGCCTAAGGAGCTTGGAAAGAAAAGCGTCTGGACTTCTTTAAGTTGCTTGAAGACATTTCACCTCTCATCCGAGAAGCTTCTTCAGTTCTAGGGTCAAATGGTGGAGAGTCCCAGATTTAAGCTCTGTGGGAGTAACCCACCAAGAGGGACAATGAACCCCCTAATGATCCTCTACCTAATCACTTGAGCCAAGGTGTGGAAATAGGTGTAGGTCACAATCAGCCAAGGTTTCGGGTGAACTCATTGTGAAACCTAGCCCCACCCTGTGAATTCTTGCGGTCAGGTCACCCAGGATGTGAGAGGGCGTTAAGGCGTTTGGGAAGGGATCTCAAAACTGGATTGGCAGACAGTTGGTGTCGTAAACCACCGACTCTGTTCAAAGATGGGCGCTCACATCAGACACCAACTAGGGAGGATAAGAAGGACAAACGCAACAACATTGCCATCCCCTATGTAAGTTTCACAATGAGCTCACTCGAAACCTTGGCTGATTGTGACCTACACCCATTTCCACACCCTGGCTCATGTGATTAGGTAGAGGATCATTAGGGGGTCCATTGTCCCTCTTGGTGGGTTACTCCCACAGAGCTTAAATCTGAGACTTTCCACCATTTGACTCTAGAACTGAAGAAGCTTCTTGAATGAGAGGTGAAACGTCTTCAAGCAACTTAAAGAAGTCCAGACGCTTTTCTTTCCAAGCTCCTTAGACTGCGATGACCTGGATGACTGAGAACCTTCACAGACATTTGCATGTATGCCTCTTCAACTATGAGCTCTATGTGCCCATTCTGATTTCTCATGTTCTTTGTTATGTTCATGTTTTGTCTTGTGTATGACATGATTCAGTGGTTTTGTACTGAATGTCTATTTCTTTTAGCACATTGTGACTCACAACAGTTATTAACACATTAAAGTCTACCTCCCCCCTGCCTTTTTTGGCATCTTGTGATGTCATTGCATAGTGACTCAAAAAGCAAGTTTTGCTAAAGGCAACAAAAGTCTGTGTGCTGTTTTTTTTAGAAAGAAATGCAAGAAAAAGAACTTAATATTAATAGTAAAAAGAGAATTAAAAAGTACCTGGTTAGATTTTCTTTTACAAGGTTTTCTGTCAGGATGACCATAGTGTCTTGTAAGTACTTCATGAGAGGGGAAACAGCCTGGGAGAATGTCACACATTACATAAATACCACAAAACACCGCTAATATAAGGATAAAAAACGCTACGCGGCTATTGCTACATACGTCATCATTGTTGATGGAGTCAGGAGACAGGCTGATGTGCTGGATGTACCTCCGCAGCTCAGGCAGCATCTGCACAGGAATATTTAGTCACAGATGTTCATGAAGGTGCATACTTCAAGTATATAGATGTCCGGATACGCTCAAACAGTTCTACAAACTGGTTTGTGAGAAACAGGAAAATTATACTCCTCGTGTTCACCTTGTCAGTGAGCAGTGTGATGAGGCGTTTAGCTTCTCTCTGCAGATCCAGGTCCATGTTGAACAGCTGTCCATTCAGAGCCTTGTAAACCTGCTCTTTCCCCTCCACCCCGCATGATTCCTCCATGGCGCGCTCCACACCCTGCCAGTCCAGGTCCCGGGGCAGGTGACCCAGGAAAACACGCACATGCTCTATGTTGTTCAGGGCGATGCAGAGCTAGCAGAAAGCGAGGAGGAGCAAAGGCGGAGAAACAGAGGGTAGAGATGGAGAAAAAAAGAAGGAAAAGAAGCAGGGCTACAGAGAAGTGGAGGGATTGAGTTTGAGTGTAAATGATTGATGACGACAAGAAGCAACTGCTTTGTTTTTGTGTGTATAACATATCTGCTCTCCCACTGAGCCCTTTGTGTTGGCAGAGAGCTTGCTGACATCGTTGACGTAATTCTGTGCCCACCCCCGGTTCTGTCTTGCTACAGGCGTTACCTGCACTGTGAAACTCTTGTGGTCTCGGCCCAGCTGGTTCCTCTCAATCTTGTGCGTTATCATCTCTGAGTAGCACACGGCCTCACTGCAGAAATTCTGCAGTAGATAAAATCAGTCTTGTCATTACGGCACAGCTCCCTCAGTTTCCTTTATGATTTTGACTGATAAACTGTATGTGTCATGTTTCTATGTGCACAGAATATGAGTATGTGAGTGTGGCAACACTATAAGTGGCACTCACGTCTGTCAAACGTGTGACAAAGATGAAGGCCCCCGCAGAGTCTGGCCAGGCCAGCTGGACCCAGATCTCGCGTACCTGGCTGAAGCAAGCTGTCACTTCAACTGCTGAGGAACTGTGCTTGGCTTGCTGCAAAGGTCCAAGCTACTCACAAAAAATAAAATCAATCTTAAAAAAGACAAAGCATGGATTTCCTAATATTTACTTTTTTTTTTTTACATGCATGAAAATCTGTAACATTTTAGCAGATTTTGCAAGCAGGGAATGAATAACTGTTTTAAACTTAACACGGTAAAACATTTTAATGTAGTTCCAAGGAGGTACATGACCTGCGATTAAAAAATAGGCAGTTCATTCATAAAAAACAGACCTGATTTAAAATTTCCCCTTTAAGGTCATATAGTTGTAAAGCTCACTTCCAATGCTGCTCCTTCTAATTGGATCACTTCTATTACAGCTCATCTCAACTGATCGAGGGACTGGCTGATCAGCTAATGAATGCTAGCTTATAGCGCCAGACAAATTATTTATCAGCAGATTAATGCTTCTCCTTAAAGTGAATACTGTACATGTTTAATAATGGTGAATAAATCATTATTGTACAAAATATTTTAATTCTTAGGAAAAAATATAGAAAAACAAGAGAGCTGGGGGTCTCATAATTTTTTTTACACCTTTGGTAACAATGGAACACCTTTGAGCAATAAGGATACAATATATAAATAATATATTACAGGTTAATTGTACATTGATGCTGTGATAATGTGTTAATTGATAACACATTAAAGGTGCCTTTTACAGCTATTCACAGCTACAATCCTAATGAGTTTTAGCTTGTTCTAAAGCTTTAGACCTACTCTATGTGGCACACAGCTATATTTTACACACCTGCGTGTTCAGTACTTCTGTAAGTTGACTTGTCTTCTGAGAAAGAGTCTATTATGTTCCTTCTATTATTCATGCCATTTCTCACCTTATCTGTTTCCACTGCCTTGCGAATCCTGTCACAGGACCTGTCGTGAACAATCTGCAGCCACTTGTGAATTGAGGACTTGAACCAGTTATGGAAACCTGTCAAGGCCAACATTTTAGCATCCCTGTAAAAGAGAAATACATTCATTAGGACATGACTTCCAGTCAGAGCCTTTTACATTGTTACATCAATAGACGTTGGAGTCAAAAGGATAACCAACTTGAGAGGAAGAAACTCTCGAAAGCCTTTGAGGATTTTCAAGGACACGAAGAGCTCGAAGATGGTCTCTCCCATTGTCTGAGACAGTCTGGAGCTCTCCTGCTCGAGAGTCCCACACACCCGCTCCATCGCCACGTTCACATCATCAGCTACCTGTCAGGTCAAAGGAAGTCAGCGTGTTTCATCCGTGTAAAAGTTAGCAGCAACAACAACATATGACTCAGAAAGACTTGTCATGTCATGTTTACAGTGACCTGTCGCATCATTTTCAGTGACATACCTGCTTTTCCAACAGTCTGTATGATATGCTGAAGAAATCTACTTTCACTGCACTGTGGAGAAAACAAACAAACAAACAAACAAACAAAGAAAAATATAAAAATCCCATCAACAACCAAGCACACAAATCAGTGTGTCACCACTGAATAATATAGCATGACACTTATCGGTTGTTTTTTTTTCTCCCTCGGATTTCTTGCAGAAAACTGCTGTTCACCTGTAGAAAAGTTTATTGTAGATGTTCTGGGCCCTCTGGACGTCTGCACATGCAGCATCAATCACCTGAACCAGCTTCTTCAGCTGTTCCTCCAGAGTCTGCATTGTCAGAATATAATGAACATCACCCTGGATGAAAAAACTCAAGGTACACTGTGTAAAAGATGTTAGGATATCTATGATTTAGGACCAAAACAAGCTTACTCCTTCCTCTGGTTTATATCGAGTGATTAAGCTCTCGTACCACTCAGCAGTTCCTTTCTGTTCAAAAGATTAAAAGGAGAATAACTGGGCTGAAGTAAAGGGCTCTTATTGACTAGTAAGTATTTCTTACATTCAGCATTTCTCATCAAAAACACTCTATGAATCAATAAAAGCTCAAGTGTTAAACACATTTACTTCCTCATTTAAAACTAATATCCATATTTCCATATTTTATTGGTACTTTGCTTCATTAAGACCAACAATGACATCCACAGATATGCAGTACATCACTACACTCTGTACACTAAATGACTAGGTTATTAGGTACATCTGCTCAACTGCTAACCAGCTATGACAGCAACTCAAAATATTCACGTATGGTTGTCAGTTTATTTCAGAATTTCAGAAACTGCTGATCTGCCTGGACTTTCCCACACAACCATCTGTAGGTTTTACAGAGAATGTTCTGAAAAAGATAAAATGGCACTGGGTGCCACTCCTGTCAACTAAGAAAAATATCTACACAAGGTCAACAGACAATAGAAGATTAGAAAAACATTGCCAGGTCTGATGAATTTCACTTTCTTTCCGATGCTAGTGTCAGGATTTCTCATTAAATACATGAATGCACTGATCCATCCAGCCTTGTATTAATAGTTTGAGTTGCTGCTCTTGGTTTAACAACGTGGGGAATATTTTATTTGGGACACTTTGGGCCCTTAGTACCAAATGAACATCATTTCAGTGTCACAGCGTACCTGACCATGTCCTCCATGGCAAGGTCACAAAATTCAAATCATCTCAAACAGTTTTTTAAACATGAAAACGAGTTTGTGTTCAAACTGTATCCACACCCAGCAGATCCTTCATGACAATATAGACCAAAATCTGTGAGGAACATTTCCAGCACCTTCTTGAATCTACACTATGAAGATTTAAGGTCAAGGTCCAGGTCAAATTTATTTATATAGCACATTTCCAGATAGATGATGCTGCACAAAGTGCTTAACAATATAAAAATGTCATAAAAAAGAAACAACGTAAAACAATAATAACAATATAAAACAATGATAGGACAATAAAAGAATTAAAACAATAACTAAGATTATTAAATAAGACCAAAATGCTTGGGTCATAGTGTGTTAAAAGCCAGGACATAAAAATATGTCTTTAGCAGTGATTTAAATTAATCAAGTGTTTGTGCAAATCTAATATTTAGAGGAAGACTATTCCAAAGTCTGGGACCTGCCACAGAGAAGGCTCTATCGCCACGAGATTTGAGATTAGTCCGTGGGATGGATAGCATTAATTTTGAGCTAGACCTAATGGATTTTCCTGGAGCATAAACAGAAAGGAGCTCAGACAGGTAAGAAGGGGCTCCGGCGTTAAGTGACTTAAAAACAAAAAGTAAAAGTTTAAATTGGATCCTGTAGGAGACAGGAAGCCAGTGTAGAGAAGCTTGACTAGCTGTCTTAACTGAAAGAAGCAGGATTAGACTACTGCACTCACCTGCTTATTCAATTTAAAAGAACCATCAAGGTAGACACTGAGGTTTTTTACATGCAAGGTTTTTTTAGGGCAGTTCTAGCCCCTGGTACCTAATTAAGTTTCATAAGTACATGTATGAAGGACAACAATTAATTCATGTACTACATTAAAAAAATCCTGCTGGTCAAAAACTTCATGGGTCACCCACACAGGTTTTCTTGTTACCTTAATAGCAGTAGTGATGTCGAGATGCAGGTCATTTCGAAGAGGACACACAGTCTTAAAGGCACGCATGTTTTGCATGTACCCAATCCCCCTGACAGTCACAGACAGAAAAAGCCAGCGACAATGTATGAGTGCGATTATATCATAAAGCAGTTATACAGTAACATAATGTTCTTTAGACCTCAGAAAATATAAAAGCTATATCTATTGCACTTTAATTGTATGCAAGATTCTGCATATCTGTGGAGAAAATGAGAAAGATAACTTTAACTGTTAGTGAGTCACTTTATGTGTGTGTGTTTCAGAGTGTAGAAAAGAGTTCCCTTGAGGTGCTGATAACTGGGCAGAGCAAGACTTCTTACTGTAAAAGCTTCTATAAAAAGCCAGTCGCCTCTAAATTAGTCCAAACCAGGCACATGAACTTCAATAATTAGCTGATTTTACTGCAATTTATAAGATACAGACTCCTCATCTCTGTGCTCTTACTTTCTTCCTTTGGTCACTGCTACGTACAAGCAAAAGCCAAAAGATGGCGATTCTTCTCTTGCTGATCCAGATTTTGCTTGTCGATGGCTTCTCGTTTCTAGTTATCCAAGACTTCTAGTTAAAATTTCCCTCTTGGTACATTAGTCAGGTGTTAGTCTTTTTTTTTTTTTTTTTTTTACAACAAATTGGGCTTTGAGGAAAAGGTGTTATAGCTCTTTTGACATGAGTAATGAACAATGACATTTAAAACATTGTTTAGTGAGTAAGGAACCCAACACTGCTTCCTCCACAGAGGCTTGTAGTCTCTCTGTGTTTGTTGGGGTGAATGGCTGAACATGTTGGTATGAGAGCACGGGCGAGTGCGTGATGTGATGGTGGTGTGCCTTTACCTCAGCATGAGCTCGTAGCGTGTAATGGCAGCAGCGCTGGTGCAGGGGAAAACCTGACGCATGTTCTTCATCAGGCACAGGCAGTGCTCTGTGTACAGCCTGAAGCTGTCTGACAGCTGCCTCTCCTGGACACAGGAAGGGCCCTCAGTTATAGCTTCCAGTACACTGGCTGTGAGACATTTTTGGCTGAACCAAAAACCTTGATGAATGTCAGTGAGGAGCTGAGCTAATGAGGTGACTGTTTCTAGATGATGAAAGGTTTTTGTTTTTTTCCCTGTTGGGGGAGCAATGGTGTAGAACCTACTAGGTCTCCCCGCACAGCGGGAGGGTCCCACTCTGCATCGATAGTCCTCAGGAGGCGCAGCAGCAGGGAGTAGCACACCCTCTGGGTCCGATGGTGGCTGCTGTAGCACTGCCAGCGACTGCATTAAAAATAAAACACGCACCTTCCACCTGATGCTAAAGCGTTCATATAACATTTGATCAATTTTATTCCTCCATTAATACTCACATAATAGCCTGTTGCAGAGGTGAGAGATCAGTTTGCACAGCATGGTGAGTTAGTACAGTCCATGCTGGAGGAGAAACCTGCCCGTTCCAGTTGTACGGCTCTCGCTGGAAATACATGTGGAAGATTACAGTCATTTCAACCACACTTCAATGTAAGAAGAAACTCTTTGTACAGTTTGTGCAGTTTTGAGGCTTTGTTTCTAAATACAATCATTTTAGCCATGTGATAAACTGGCAGCCTATGCAGGGTGTACCCTGCCTTTCACTCTCTGACAGCAGGATTATTTCCATCTGTATAAGTTTACATTTAATGATAAAAAAATATGACTAAATAGTTAAACAGAAAACAATAGAAGCTGTTATAAAAGTGTGTGCATTGAAAAAAAAAACAATCTAAAGGAAACTCACCTTAACATGAGCATGCTCATACTCCACAATCTGACTCAGCAATTTCTTGTGAATGGAGACATTTGTCTCCTTCTTAGACAAAGCTGTGTCTCTCTGAAGGTCAAATGAACATTTGAAGTCTTATCATACACAGAGGAAGACACGTTTTTATATAATGAATAACTGTTGTACTTTTAATACCTGGCTGGTGAAGAGCTTCAGAATCAGGTGACATTCTCCCTGAACTTTAGATGCACTCGAGCGTGGCTCAAGCTTGAACCAGGTGTCGTAGCCCATAACGGGAATTTCCTGAAGAAGGAAAGCAGCTTGACTTGACATACTGACAAATTTTTTACAGTATGTCCTTTAATGTATATGAGTTTGTGTGAGATTTTGAAGATGCAAGGGGCAGGGGTAGAATTAATGGGCTAAACCATCTGAAGCCACAGATTGAGCATAAGAGAAGGGAAGAAGCATGGAGCGGGTGAAGTATTAGAGGTGATTCGTGACAGAAGGATAGCAGCAAGAGAAAGAGATGATTTACAAGATGGTGGGAGACGTGCTATGATGTTTGCTTTGGATGTGGTGGCACTGGAAAAGAACAAATAAACAATAACCAACCAATCAACAAAAAAAAGCCCAAAAGAGGCCAAGCGGAAGCTAGCAGAGTTAAAGATGGTAAGACTGTTGTCACCCACCTAGCGTAAAATGTTTGGGACATTTTAAGGCGAGCTTTGGGAGTGAGAACGTGTTGAAGTGACAGGACAAAATTAGAAATGAGTATATCAGAGTGACAGCTCAGGTTCAGCAGTTTAAAGACAAAGGTAGAGAGGCAAGGCTGACATGGTTTGGACATGTGCAGAGGAGGATGACATGTACAAAGGATGTTGAATATGGAGCTGCCGGGCAGGAGGATAAAGAAGATTCGTGACAGAGAAGATTCAGGGATTCAGTGAAGGAAGACATGCAGAGGGTTAGTGTGATGGAAGAAGATGCTAAGGATTGGGGTGAGACGGAGGCAGATGGTTCGCTGTGGTGACCCCTAAAGGGAGCAGCTGAAAGAAGAAAAGCTTGTGTGTGGTTTCTCTGCGGAGACAGTTGCACTTTGTTCACTCACATTCAAAGGAATATTGATGCATCCGAGGAAGTCATCTACATTCTCCTCGGAGCCCGATGATGCAGATCCATTCGCACGCACTGACTTTGCTATTTGCTTAAAATACCTGAGCGGAAAATGCGAGGGACAAAGTAAATGGTGAGTTTTCAGTTTTTCTGCATTTAGCTAATGCCTTCATTATGTGTGACTCACAATTAGAGATACTGCATTTATTTACTGATGCCAGCTGACCACTTGTTACTTTCTTGTTGGATTAAAATTGCAGATTTTTCACCACGGGATGAGGATCCTTTAATCCCTTGGCTATGGTTGGCATTCTCAGATTTTCATTAGACATGTCTGCTATTTATTTGTCTCTCTGTGACCTGGCAGATCTCCTCATGTTTTCTGTGTGCACAGATTTATTGGCACCAGGGTTTTCTGTATGTCAGTCTTTCAAAGGGCAAATACCAAATGATCCCGTAAAATTAACAAGTAGGCTGCTATCAGCTTTTTGAACATGTGGAGACAAACCAGGTCTCTATACTCATCAGCTGGAACTTCTGGAATAATTCACATGGAAATTACATATTTAATGACTCATATTTTTACTGTTGCAATGTCAACTGGACTCACGAATTAACAAGTTTAATTGTTTCCAAAATTAGGAAAGTTTTAAGGATTTCTGACAAAATTACGCTGGAAATCCAGAATTACTGTAGTTAGCATGCAGTACTTTTTTCTACCTGCCCATTCCTCGAAGTCCACTGACTTCATTGAGCTTTTTGCAGGCCTCAGCAACAGATACGTCGTCATCGTGATCCCTGAAGGAAAGAAGACGAATAAAAGCTTGTTACACTTTCACTTACTGCAAAACATGAGAGGCTGTAAGAAGCTGTAATAAACTGAGAAGAGAAGGTCATCTATAATCAAGGCCCATTGTTGTTTAAGAAAAGCAACTTTTACCATGACAAGAGGCAGGAAATGTTTCGGTAACAGCTGAATAATGGGGACATTTTGTAATTTAGAACATCACATTTTAACAGGCTATTTGATTTGCATAGTAATGATATTCACACTGAATGATGCGGATAAAATTGTTACATTTTTGCATAATTAGAAAGGATGATTGCTTCGCTTCACTTTGGACGTTTTCTCTTTTGCTTGTAAAACTTTGATCTGCTAAAATTGACAAAGTGAGCAGAACCAGGCGCTAAACTGGGAAGATTGTAAAGCTTTTGACAAAGTAATAAAAAAGATAGAGCGCTGTGACTTTTCTAGAGCTGCAGTGATGAGCTATTTTAGAGGATTTTTTTGCTCAAACACAAAATATAAACGTTTTTTGACTGTTAATTTTCCAAAAAACCCAAAATGTGATGATTTATGTTTCTCAGCTGAAAGAGTATGCTGCCTTACATTTAATTTTAATTGAATTGATATACCTTTATTAGTCCCACAAGGGGAAATTTCATAAGGCTGCTGACCTATTGCACTCAATGGCGGCGCCATCTTACCTTCCGACCATACATACATTACACAAAACATCACATGGGGAAGACAGGTCAGAGAGGTATAACAATGGAAAATGCACCACATGAGGAAAGATAAGGAGAAAAAAATAACTCCAGACTGAGCTCCAACAGGGAGATCAGTTTGAGAACAGAAAAAAACACCTCTGCACATAGCACATGAAAAAAAAAAACTCTTAATACACCAAAGAAACACATGACAAGCAACAGGGGTGGGTAAAGGGTGCAGCATCGGAAGGGAATAAGCATCGAAGGCGTTTGGAAAGGGAGGGGGGATGAGTGTGTGCATATCAGTGTATATGTATGTGTGTGCGTGTCCAGAGTTCAGCTGAGACAGTGTCCTTCGCCCTGCTAGGCTAAGTAAACAGTCTTCCAGCCAACCCAGGTGGCCTTGCATGGAATGGGAAGGAACAGACTAAACACAGTCGTTATCAGGGTGTTTTTGTTCGGCTCCAGCCCTGCGAACGCAGCTGGCGCCAAAGGGGTATCTGCATGAAGTGATGGTGCTTTTTACGTTAGTGAGAACAGCTCATATGAATTTCAAAGCAGTTCTACAGTCCAACACTGGTCTCTCAATCTCCCGTTGGAGAGCTGCGAGCTTCGCCATACTTGCATTCTGTGATGTTGTCATTTCTTGTGCTCAAGGAGCAGATTTCTGAGAACTCACGACAGTGTGCCTCCCCGAGATGTCATCCAATTTGCGCCCAGAGATGTTATTCCGAGCTAGCCCTTCTGAGATGTATCCAGTCTGCAGTCAGAGATCTTATTCTGAGTATTCACAGCAGCCGTAGCCTCTCCAAGATCTTATCCGTGCTGCACTCAATGAGCCCATTTTGAGAAACTCACGCCTCTTCCCATCGTTCCAATCCCAGCGGGCAGCCTTGTGGGGGTTTGAACAGCTGGTTCCGCTTTCTTAATTCTTCAATAAGTCAGGGCCAAGCCAGCTCCGATCCGCCAGAACCCTGTTACCATGGTTCCGAATAGGTAGATATCTTCAGCACTCAGGCTCACCCAAGCCCAAACTTCTCTTTGAGAAAGGGGTGTCAATTGCATTTAGGGACCAGTTGATCCAATCCATAATTCCTCTTTTAGGTTTTAGAGAACAGACTGTGAGAGAGTGTTCCAGGGAAAAGTAATACAAAAAAACACGAGACTAGACAAGGACATAAGAGGCTAAGCAGGGAAGCTGAGGGAGAGGAGGAGGAGGAGAGGTGAAAAGTGCGACCGCCTTCGTCAAGAGCAAGAGCAGAAGAATTAACTCAATTGTATATCAATAGATTTTGACAGCTAACTGATCAAATCAAACACATTAGTTGAGAATAATTCAATTTGTCATGTTTTTCAAAAGTTTGCATAGATCTAATTATTAACTGATAAAGTAATCAGTTATTGTATACTTAATATATTTATTTACCACCTCTTGTTTCTCTGCTTCCATATATGTTTTCTTTTAAATTTCTGCAATGCAATGTAATAATCTGGCATTAAAGCAAAAACAAATCAAATATACTGTAGGTTATGTTTGTAGCTGTAAGAGCTTGGCATTACTATGCACAGTCTCCTCAGATCATACACTGACACTGCATTAATAGGAAATAAAGTTGAATTGAATTATCTTACCATATGTCCAGATGTAAGAGGTCATTGTGGACATCGTCTATTTCACTAGAACACAACAACAGCAAAGCAACAATAAAAAACTAAAGACCCGGAAACATCATCGTTTAAGCGCTCAATTTCATCAGCAACACCGACAATAATCGGCTCAATTCTTCAGTGGCTCTTTTCACAGAAATGACATTGTGGCGCACTGGTCACATAACTAGCAGCTTTGGGCGTTAGTGTGAAACTAATGAAACCGTGATTCCTGCATATCACACATACCAGCGTGTGCAGCTCTCTGATAAAGGTTAGAATTTGTCTTATACTCACAACACGAAGTGCTCGTCCCACACTGGGTTCAGAGTCTCAGGTTTGACCTCAGTCACCTGAATACACCTGGCTGGTAACACTTCCTTGGTGCTGGAGCGTTTCTCCAGCTTGTCCTTCCTCTTCCTGAAGCTGAACTTTCTCTCCTTCTTCTCCTCCGTTTCCCGAGGGCTCTGGCCCACGAGGATGCCCAGCATGCAGTACGGGTCACTGTAGCCTGCAGGGTGACAACCAGAAGACAGTGTTGGATAGTTACTGTTATTGCTGTTTCATTAGCATAGTTCATTGGTCATAGAGTAAACATTATATCAGATTACTTAGGTTATAACATCAGCACTCATCCTTACACTTTAGGCTTTTTTTTGTACAAAGTGTCAGAGTAGGGAAGAAAAGTGATTAATCACAGTGAGTGGATGAAGCATTTCAATTAAATATTAGAAAAAGATCATGTAATGAATGAAATATCTCACCATTTGCATCCTTGGCCATTAGATTCTTTGCTTTCATAACAGAAACTCTCAAGGAAAAATTAGCTCTCTGTGGAAAAAGAATTTCATGCCTGTTTAGTTTAAAACATCTGAGTATATTTCAAGGATGATGGGCATGAATTTTAAAAAACGATAACTTCCTATTTCCTGATAAACTTCAAGTAAAAAGTCAGTAAAACTCAGGCAACCTCTATTTCAAAACACTTCAAAGTTCTTTACGTGGATATTAAAAAATGCAAAGTGGCAGTCAAGTAAATAGCCAAAAAGCCCCAAAAAACATGCTGTACAAAATGTAGCTTTTACTTGTTACTGTCACGGTTCTGGGTCTTTCTGACCCAGCTTTTTGAGTTCTTGTGTTTTTTATATTATGGTTCATGTTTTGAGTCCTTTGTTGTACTGTTTCTTATTTCCCTAGGTTTCAGTTATGGTTATCATAGGTTTAGTTCTTAGGTCTTGTAATATGGCTTCCCTGCGTTCCATGTTATGTCTACTGTGACTTTTTGTACCATGTTTCAGGTTCCTATGTTCCGTCTCCCTAGTTGCTGTTAAGTTGTCTAGAGTTCAGTCAGTGTGTTTCCTGTTTTACTTTGAAGGTCCGTGTATCATGTCAGTGTTTCTAGTTTTTCTTCCCTTGTCTCATCCAGCATGACTGCTCCCAGCTGTGCTCTCCTTCTGTCTCTCATTCCCTCGTTATCCCTCAGTGTATTTAAGCACTGTGTTTCTCTTTGTCAGTGTTGTGTTGTAGAGTCCCTCATAGCTGTGTGATGGTCCCTGTGGCTCCTCGTGCTTTAGGTTTTTTAGTTTAGTTTAGTTTAGTTTAGTATTGTTTTTTTGTGTCCCCCTACACCAGCAATAAAGCTGTGTTTTTGAGTTTACCTTTGTCTCTGCGAGTTTGCGTTTGGGTCCTTCTCTTGCCTGCACACAGCCGTATTGTGACAAAAGACTACGACCAGACAATGGACCCAGCAGCTCACAATCCCTCCGCTGAGCTCCAGGAGGACATGATTTACGTGGTGGAGTTTCTATGTCAGGAGTTGTTTGCCCTGCCTATTAAGGAATACCAGGAGGAGCTAGCTATTCGGTTACAGAGAATGGTTTCTGGACTTCCCTGGCTATTTGGCGCACTACACCCACTCATTCAAGAATTCCTTGTTTCCATCGTACGCGTCCGCCCTGAGCAGCCGCTCCTGTGTGAAGAGCTGGAGGATTTTCAGCCGAGAACGCTGGAGGATTCATGGGCCGACCCATCTCCTCCCTCTTCGAGGAGAAAGCGGTGTTCACGCCGCCGTCGCTCCACGGCAGCTGAGCAGATGACTTTCGTGAGTGAAAATGACTGTTTGCCACATTCTCCACATTCTGGTACCAGACTTACTGCCATTTCATCCATGGTTAATCACGCTCCTTCTATGAACACTTTGGTTTTTCCCTCAGGTGAGGGAGGCTGAGGTCCAGCTGGTCCCTGCTCTGGTTTCCAGGCCGGCTGAGACTCTGCCAGTCCCTGCACCTGTACCAGCTCCTCGGGTGGGGACAGCAGCTGCCCAGCTGTCGCCGGTACCTGTCCCGGCTCCCAGGGTGAGGCCAGCCAGGACACAGCCTACCTCCGCACCCATACCTACTCCTCGGGTGGGTGGGCTCATGTCCGGCTGTGTCCGCTGGAGGCTCAGGCAAGCCTATCCAGCCCCTGTCCTTGTGTTCTGGAGGCTCAGCGTTAAGTCAGTAACCACTACCACAATCACTACAACCTCTCATTTTTTCCATAGTTCAGTCTGTTGCTCAGTTATTATCTCAGTCATTTGTTCCGTCATCAGTTTTGCCTCCAGGTCAGGCTTCAGTTTTGTCACCTATACCCCTTTCATTAGCCCAAACATCTGCACAGCCAACTGCTCAACAGTCTGTTCAGCACTCCGTGGCTCCTACGTCGCTGCCTGTTCCAGCTGGAGGGCTCGGGGAGCCCGTCCAGCCTCGTGCCACGTCAGCTGGGGGTTCTGGAGCACCCATCCAGCATCTCTCCGTGTCTGCTGACATCTCTGAGTCCGTTCAGCCACCACCTGCTCCACCACCTGTGGCTTCCATGCCGCCGCCTGCAGCGCCGCCATCTGCTCCTTTGCCCGCAGCTGCCACACCCTCGTCTGGTCCTGCCTCGTCTGGTCCTGCCTCGTCTGGTCCTGCCTTTGCCGGGCCTCGGCCTACACGCCTGAGCCTGGAGAGCCGCCGCTGCCTTCCGTGCCAGCACGACCCGTTCCGCCTCGCTTCTGCCGGCCGTTTTCCGGGCCTCTAAGATGGCATCATGGCCTTTGGAGATGGCCTCCGGAAAGAGTTCGTCGCCGCCGCTGGCATTGTGGCCGTCCTCCGGACCTGCTCAGTGGCCACCACTACCTTCCAAGCGGTCGGCCTCCTGAACTGTTTGCCCGTCGCCGCCGGTGCCGTGTGCACGGTCGGCCTCCTGAACTGTTTGCCCTTCGCCGCCGTTGCCGTGTGCACGGTCGGCCCCCGGAACTGTTTGCCCATCGCCGTCGTTGCTGTGTGCATGGTCGACCCCCGGACTTTACTGTGGACTCGTGAATGGTCTTGTTTTGTGTTGGCCTGTTTTTGATTTGGTTCTGGACTCTCGTGCT